TGTCCTCCTTAGCGCTGCACTCCTCAGCGGCCAGGGGCTCCTCGGAGGCAGCCGCCTCAGCTCCGGCAGGCCCCGCCTCTTTGGAATGGATTTCTGAGAGGCCAAACTGACCTGGGGGTGGGGGTTCATTCTCCAGAAAACACTGCCTTTTTCCTTCCTCCTCTTTTCCCCTTATGCTTTTGCTGCTCATCACAAACATCCTGCACAATTTTCTTGTTGACTGAAGACTCCAAATGCGGACTGTGGAGATGCTGCCCTCCCGCACACGCCGGGATGCCACCGCCAGGGTGCTACCCGGCTTCAAACACAGTCCCCCCCGCCGCCCGTGCCGCCCCGGGCCCTAACGCGGCACTGGGATAGCCTTAGACACACTCGCCTGGAAGATAATACTGATACCTTGTTTTATATGAGCATTTATACACCAGGACCCTGGCAAGGGGTTGACTTCATTGGGATGCTTTATGGCTTAATCCGCCAGAATGATTTATACCCCGCTTTGTCTAAGCCTCTACGCTAATAAATTTAACAGATTCTCCAGGGCTGTCTGGTTCTTCGTTGCTTCAGGGAGTCAAAGTGAGAGGAAAATAAAGGAGCAAGTTGCTAAAGAAAGAAGGAAGAAATTGGCCCGAACAGAACCTCTGATTACCGGCGGTTAAAACGAAGTAGCAGGGGGGGGAGGTTCCAAGGTGCAGGTAGATCTCTGTAATCAATCGAGTTGTCAGTGGGGAAATCACAAAAGCGACAAAATATTTAGCAAGTTAATCTACTGGGAAACATTTTGGTTCTGTATAATTAAATCCAAGGCAAAGGGAACGCTGACAACTGTTAACCTGAGTGCAGTTGGGAAAGGGGCGAAGATAAGACTCAGCCTACAAAACACCCTCCGTGATTGTTTACAGGTTAAACACACAGAAGAAACACTTGGAAACAATTTGCTAAGATGGGCAAATTTTAAGACTGTGTACCGATTTTTTTACAGGTGCACAATAAATTGTTTTCTTTTCTTTTTCCCTTTTCCGCGTTGTTTGCAAAGTTGAATCTGGGGTCAGAAGTTCTAATTGTAACCTCAGACTGGAATTCCAGATGGTGCGCGCAGGACTGGAAGCAGCCCTCAGTTCATCAATTTCATGGGCCTTCCTATCTGAACGCCTCGGCCTGGCCTCCATCCCCGCTGTGGCATTAATGCAGAACAAATTGAGACATATCCTCTATATAATTAGTTCCAGAATTTAAAAAGATTTACGGTATAATAATAGAGGAAGCGCTGTGGAATCCTTTTAGTGGGGACTCCGGGCGCTTGGGGACAGAGTAACCCCGGGCTCCAGGCGGGAGAGGGGTTCGCACCGCATGCCCTGCGGTGCTCGAGGGCTCTGCACCCTGCCCAGGGTCTCTTGCAGGGGAGAGATGTGGATGGGAGACTGGGCAAAAAGATGGAGATGTGCAAAGGGAGAGAGGAGGCTGGGGAGGGCGGTCGCAAACCGTTCCCTTGTTTATTTTAAAAACTGATTTTAAGATTCCTGACTCGATTCCTGCACCCCAGTGTAGGCGCTGATAGAGTGGGATCCTGGGGTGTGGCCAGGGTCAGGTCACTCTGCACCCCCAGAAGGCACAGGGAAGACCCTATTCACTCGGGGTCGCTGGTAGCAGGCACTGGAGGGACGGAGGAGTGGTGTGCTGGGCCAGCCTCTGGCTGTGACTGGGCTCGGTCGGGTGCAGGGGACAGCGGGTCAAAGTGGGGAGGGGTCCTTTCTGCCCCCGCTTAATGCAATAATTGTGCTCCTTCTGGGCCGGACACCCATTTACCAGTGTGCTAAAGTCACTCAGGTGCCTAAGCTCCCTGCTTCCCACCTTGTTCCCTGAGCTGTGGAGACGCCAGGATGGAGGCTAAAGCCACCGCTGGACGAGGCAAGGTCATAGCTCTGCTGCTAGGACCTTGCTACCTTCGGACAATGACTGTAGTGAAAATCATGGTTTAGCAACAGTTATAGCCCAACACCTCCTCCAAATTGGCAGGACAGCGCCACGAGGTGTGTGCTACCTCCCACTCCCATCGCATTTCCCGCTTTAAAGAAACCGAGGCCCTGGGAGGACACCCCGCCAGTGAGGGTCACACAGCTGCCGCGGCCGCCAAGCTGAGCCCAGGCGCGGCCACCAGTCCTGGCCACCGGCGCCTGCTCCCTTTCCCCGCTTGGTCTGGGCCTTGCGTTCCTTCCTCTTAGAGCACGGAGCTTCCGCTCCAGCCCTGTGTGCAGGTGACTCAAGGGCCTTGATGCCCAATGCCCAAGTCCCCAGCCACTCTCGGGCAGGGAGGAGGGCGAGGGAGACGGGCGAGGGAACTGTGGCAACCACAGCCCCGGGGGGCGGGCAGGAGAGCCAAGAGCGCAGGGTGGGTGAGGAGGCCTCCACCTGGAAGCCAACCGCATTGAGCCTGGGGAGAGAGGTGGAGGTTGGGGCTCCTGCACCCGAGGCTGGCGCCCTTGGGCAGGGGTGCGGGGAACTTAGGGATCCCAGGGAGAAAGAAGCACTCACTTCCCTGCCTGGGAAGCTGTAGGGCAGGGGCAGAGGCACCCCGGGGTCAAAGGGAAACTGCACCTTCCCTGCTACTCTCAGGGACCCCAAGAAAACAAACGCCAGGGTTCGGGGTTCTCAGTTTTTTCAGGCTCCCCTCCGGCTGCAGGCAAAACCTGATTTTTTAAAATCTAGGGATAGAGACTTTGGCGAACTTCCCACCTTGGGGTTCCGGCCTCTCTCCTGACTAGTACCCGTCCCCGAGAAAAGCATGCAAAGCAGAGGAAAAGACAAACAACCCGTCTCTCCTTTGCAATTCTGCCTTTGCATGAGTCCTCGCTAAGAAAAAAACGAATTCCAGGTTGAAATCAGAGCGGGGTGGAGGGAGTGGGGAACATTTGGGGCGCTCCAGGGTCAACCCGGCCCGAGCGAGGTCCCCTCCTGGGGCCGGCAAGTCCAACCCAGCTCCAGTGCGCGCCTCCGGCAGCTGCCTCGCCGCAGGGTGAGGGCTCCAGGGAGGGCTTGCGTGCCTTATTCTTCAATGTGTATGTTTGCAATGCGTAACCGTTAGACACCCTTAGCTTCTTAAACAGAAAAAGGCGAAGAGAAGGGAAAGTAAGCGAAGGTGAACTCGAGAGCGGCGCGGGAAGGAGAAAGCGGACGGAGAGGTGTGCTCAGCTCCTTCGCCAGCCTTGGTCCTGGGGTCTCCGGCGCCTCTGGGGTGCGCACCCTAAGCCGAAGAGGGTGTTGCCTCCAGCAAGCCGAGCGCCTCCATTCCACAGCTAGAACCTAGCATTGGCAGTGTAGACAACAAGCGCGTGAAAACCAAAGCGGTAAATCAAGGCCACCGGGACGCTCCACTTCTTCGCAGAACTGCAAGTACCTCGATTCCACGCCGTAGGCTGGGCGGGGATGCGCGCTTCTCCCCGCCAGCCACTGCAGGCCCCGAGCGCCCAGCTTCCCGCCCGCGCCTGGCCGTCCCAGGCTGCGCCGTCGCCGATGCCTCCCGGAGCTCCGGGGCGTTTCCACGAGCCGCAGAAACGCACGTCACAAAAACCAAAAATCAAAATAAAAGTAGCCCTATCCCCTTCCCTGAGGCTCGGGGCTCCGAGAAGCTACCAGCTCGAGTCTGTTTCGGAAGCCACAAGCTCCGCATTCCCCAAGGCGCGCGCTGCCTCGAGCCAGCCAAGAGGCTCCGCTCCCCACCTGATCGCCAGGCTGGCTTGAGCCTCCTGGCCGGGAACCGGACCCCAGGGCCAAACCCCCGGCGTGAGCAGAGGGCTCCAGGCGCTCCTTCTCCCCGCCCGCGCGCCCGAACCTCCTGGTTTCCTTTCCTCCCCAACGGGGTGCCCGGGCGCTGCAGCCCGCGGACGAAAGCCCGGGGCGGCCCCAAGTTCTCTCCGCTTCCCGGCTCCGCCGTAGCAGATACTCCTCACTGGAAGGAGCTAAGCCCTCTGACCGGCCGCGGCCCTCCTCACCCCGAAACCGACCACCAGGCGATCGGTAACGCCCCGCGGGGCCCCCACCCAGGGCGTCTTCGCCTTGGATCCCGACCTCGGGGGCTGACCCCTCCCCAGGGATCCAGGGAAGAAGGCGCGGAGCTGAGGCGTCGTCGCCAGGACAGACAGTGCTAGGGCCACTCCTAAGTCCCGCCCCCTCGGAGCCCCCCGCCCCCCGGATCCGCCGCCCCCGCCGTCCTCCCGCTGCCCCCAGAGGGGACCCTTGGCTCACCCGAGGGGCTGCCGGGCCTCGAGCCCCCATCGCGCGCCGGCTGCAGGGAAGGCAGAGGGAGCGCGGAGGCTGGAGAGGAGGTGGCCGGGAGGGAGGGAGGCGGCTGGGGG